TGCAACTGGGTTTACACCACACGGGCTGATTTTAAATTTTACATGGGCTAAACTAAAAAATAAAAAATTGACTGCATCTGGGCTTGGGTGAGCACGGGCTGTAGCCCGTGCTAGCCCGGGCCTGGATCCGCATGTGTAAAGAGGAATGTCAACTAGAGTGTACATATAATTTAATTCTAAGTCATCTTCGAAATTTTTAGTATCTGGGGATCAAAAGACTGCATTGCAACTATGTATATATTGGAGAATGAGGACCACCTTCTATTTCAAATGTCACAATTGCATTTACTTTCTCTATGGTTGTATCGAGGTACCCAAAAGATAAATTACTTATATTACTTTTGGACATATAATATGTTTTTATAGTTTGGGAATGGCTCGCTTGTCTCTAAAACCATCAATTACTCAAATTTGAATTCAAAGCATATCGTGTAAGATAAACTAATCGTGATAGAATTGAGAAAAAATAACATAAACTCATCAAGATAGTTAAGTAAAGTGTGATTCAAACTTGAAGTAGCTACAAGTGATGTTTAGCTTTGGGTATGGTAGTTTTAGCGTAATATCACGCATTTGATTGACTTCAGTCTCTCCTTAATTTGTAATAAAAAATTAAGAAGAAAAAAAATGGAGAAAGGAGCATGATGAAAGGTTCTAGACATTCTTTATTGCTGCCTTTGTGAAATCGTAAAAACATATATTTTTGCTGAAACAAGATAAGGCCAATTTTGTACCAATGTAGAAAAAGTGTACAAACCTTTTATCGCACAAAGTATTATTTATAGTCTGTTTGGTACACATTAATATAAAAATAAGAATGAAAAATACAGTCGTTACGGATCCCACCCAAGAAATAGAAAGTCAAATATAGTGGCTTTATGTGATGAATAACGGTCATTTTTTCATTTTATGAAGTCAAGGTTAGATGGCTTTATTCATGATCAAATATGTTTATTCCAACTCCAAGAGGATATAGAATAAAAAGAAAAGAAAACAATAGAAGAGAAGAAAAAGGAAGTAAAAAAGTAAATTTTTTTTTTATTGTAAGATTAATCCTTCTTTAGGCAGTAAGTAGTCAGTTTTATTAATTTTAATTCCCTTTTTCTCTGTCTTCTCTTATGTTTTTCCTTTTTGAGAGAAATATAGCCCCTTTGTGGCACATTATTATAAAAATTAGAATAAAAAATATAGTTATTATGGATCCCACACAAAAGATAAAAAGTCAAATATGATGATTTGATGTGATGAATAACAATCATATTTTTCATTTTAACGAGAAAATAACGGGGCTCAAACAAGGCCATAATGGTTTGTCAAACAAACTCTACGAAAAAGCTCCCCGTCTACCATTGACCTCGGCATTAAATTTATTTATTACACAATAATTTTAAAATAAATCTCGAATGCTGTATTATCCATATACATCTGTTGAGAAGATGCAACGGTAAACTAGAAAACTGAAAGTATAACAAAGAAATTTGGAAATAATTAAGATTCGTAATAATTAATAACTAACACGGATTCTGTATTCTTTCCATATCTTTGTACTTACCAATCAACTGCAATCCGGTCTCAAATAACCCTTATATATATATATATATACCTCACCTCAAGTTCTGAGAAATAGACAGCAGATCTCATATTCCTTCCTCTCTCTCTCAAACATGGATTTTAGTCATGAATCCCACCAAGTCGAATCCTTTCAAATTGCCCAGGTCGCCGGATTAATAAAACAGCTCGGCCAACCCAAACTTGGACTTTCGCTTAAGTTTTCTTGCCAACGGGTTCTTCGTCTTCAGGATGTCGAACAATTTGGAAGGGAAATTCGATTGGAAGGAATCTCGAATCACGTGTACATTAAACCCGAAGAATTTTCCAGCCATAACAAGATGCATGAAATTATCGACCGAACTGTCAGAACTTGGCAAATATGTAATTGTCGTCGGGAAAGTGTGATTCAGAATGTGATTCAACGTGCACGAGAAACTGCGGGACGATTTTCTTCTACTCACAGCGTTATATGTCTTGATGTTAAAGCAAAGGTGGTTTATGATGAAATCCTTTTCTATGAATATTCACGAATGTACAACGAGATATTGCAGCAGTCGATAGAAGAAGATAATGACTGTAATATGATTCCGCTACCGATTCGTCCATCAAATCGCTTGAGACGAAGAAATTAGATGACGAGAGTAATGACTACGATAGTTGCAGTATATGTTTGGACAAGTCCTATAAAGGAAGCGTAACTGCGTGTATGCCATGCCGCATATGTTTCATAGTACTTGCATTACAAAATGGCTCAAGACGAGTAATTATTGTCCAGTCTGCCGTTTTGAGATGCCAATCGACTGATGCATAATTCGATAGGTAGACAATATGCTTTAGGCTTCAAGAATGATGTTATTTTTTTCAAATAAAAAAAAAAATTTACTGTTCTATATTGCAATCGACTACTTCCATGTTTTGTTTCTCACCATGCATATATATGCATTGAAAAGTAATTAATAAAGCAAGAGAAATCAAGATATATAAAAATAAAAATTGACATTATTAATCAATGAAAAGCGGGAAATAGCATGGGAAAGAACACGTAATTGATGTCTGGCAATATACATTCATGTATATTTCAATCGGATCAATTATTTTTAATTTGTCACAATCAAATCACTCAACTTTCACTTACTTTCGATATTAGTATCTTTTTCTCCAAATACTTGAATTACTGTCATCGCCCCACTTGTTTTTCCTTGCTCTTTCAATAAACTTTCTTCAACTTTGCCGTCGAAATAGGTAGAACGCTATAACTTCGACTCTTAAATCAAATCCACAACAGACTCCAAACCAGTTGTTTGTTACACCATACACCATACCCATAACTTTAAGTTCATTTTATCCACACCATACTCCAAACCAGTTGATTAATTTATCTCAATCAAATTACTAGACTTCAATTTACTTCAAATATTAATCATCATTTTACCTCCCATATAGTGAAATTAAGGTCCAATTCATGTGGTGAAGTTAGAATATAATGGATTTTTGATGTGTCGTCACATGATTAATATCAATTTTATTCAATGAGCTTCATGAATATTTTAGTTGGGCCACTCATTTTTAATTTGTCACAATTCAATCACTAAACTTCCATTTACTTTTAATGTTAATCACTTTGTTTCCCGTTAGTGGAATTAACGTATGATTCAGATACAAATGATAAAACATTACTCTTTTTTTTTCATCAATTTTTTTTTTTTTTTTTGGTCACTGTCATGAAATTGGCTCATCTTTAGTTTGTCACAACAAAAGTCATTACTATATCCGATTCCCTTCCATTTGTAATGTTGCCAATAAATAATTTTGGGGGAAAAAAAATATTAATTTCACCATAAAATAAAAAAAAAAAAAAAAAAAAAAAAAAAAAAAAGTGCGACAAAATATTTCACCTAATTCAAAGCACGTTTTAAAAATATTTGAACAAAAATCATCATCAAGATCTAAATGTGCTAATTTTATTGGAAGATGATAATAAGAATGCAATAGAAAATGTAGGAACATAAGTGTAATAATAAAATTAAAATAAAAATTTTTTGTGTGATTAAAAAGTGATGCAATAAAATAAAATTGTGGTGACAATATTAATTCACATATTGCACCGTAAAAGTACATGACACTAATAAATGGACATTACCTCATTACAATCATTTTGGATGACCGAGTTGCCATATGTATAAAAAAAATTTAGGAGGGCGACATATTTCATTTTGGCATAGAAGAGTGAGCTCGTTAGAAAATTTCCTACTTTGGGATTAGGCCTAGGCAAAAAAAATCGACCAAACCAATTAAATCGAACCGACTCAGGCCGATTTGGGTCGATTTGACACATAAAATTGGTTTGATTTGATTTGATTTTCTTTTAAATAAAACCAATTCAACCTTGGTTAGATGCGTCAAATCGGTGATTCACCAAATCAATCAAATCCATTCACATGTTTACCCTTTTCTTTTTCTTTTTAAGAAAAATAAAAATCAAAAAATGAGTCGTAATCTCATTACTATATCCGATTCCCTTCCATTTGTGATGTTACCAATAAGTAATAACATTGGAAAGTTCTTGCTACAAGTACATTATGTTATATTTAGTCTTTTTCTGTTCAGGCTACATAATGCATAAAAAACACAAAATTTTTAAAATTTTCTATTGATCCGTCTCTATTAACATGATTTTATGTGTTAATCATTAGTTTTTGTAATATAAAGTTGTTCAATTATTTTAGCTCTTGTAATATAAATGGGTCCAAAATTCTAACAAATTTTTTTTTTATAATATAATTTAGATTAAAAGTCCAAATCAACTAACCTAACCGTTCAATCTAAGAGTTAGAGTGATTTGGGTTGAAATTCTCAGACTAATTTGATTTTGATTTCAGGTTACAGTTAAGACCGACACATACCGTCCTATCTGGGATTCTTTTGATTTTCTCGAACCTTACGACCCCGTTCTATCCTGGTGTCTGAAGTTGAATATACGTCAGCGATCCCTTTCTTCTTTCCTCGCTCTCACGTTCTGAGTTGTTTGCTCATTCTGACTTTAATCGAAATTGTAGAAAGACAATGCTAGAGAAAATTGGGTTGCCCCCAAAACCATCACTGCGGGGATATAATTGGGTTGCCGATGCTTCACATTGCCAAGGATGTTCCACACAATTCACTTTCATCAATCGCAAGGTTGGGTTGCTTTTATTCTTGATTTCTTTCTAGTTTTCTTGATTCTTCAAGTTGCATGTTATGAGATTCTATAAGTGATACGTGTGATCTTGGTGCGCGAAAATATGATTATGCGCTGTTCATTTTGCACTTTTCGTTAACACCCAAATCACAAAATCGGTTCTTTGACTATTAAATTTACGATCTTGATTTTCGAGGGTAAGCTTTACTAGTTAATTCACCAACTGTTAGCGTCTTTTGCAATTGAAGAAATATGATCCTTGGCATTTAGGGGTCGTTTCAATCATTATTATTTTATTATACTAAAATGTTGAATATTTTTTGTCATTGCTTTTGATACGCATCATTAATTGCATTCATATTTTGTTGTTTGGATTCAGTACCTCCAAGTGATATAGTAAGGGATTTTATCTTATTATTTCCTGATTAGATATGTTTAGTGTTCTTGCTTTGAAGATAGTCACTGATAAAGAAAAAAAGTAATGGTCCAAACATTAATTTCTCATCCCGCACCTCATCTTTATTGACGATTAAGAAAATAGCAAATCGGCAGAAGCAGTGGTATGAAGTTAAGGAAAATCATGTAAGTTATTGACTATTGTTTGAAACTATCCAATTTATAGAGTATAGTGGTTGGCTATTTATTGCCCTATAATAGCATCATTTAAAGATGTAGTCTTCTTTTTTCAAGATATGGAATACCAAAATAGGTATATTTCATACGATGTTCCTGTGAACAGTGTGATCAGATATGTTGGAGGGTGCGTGGAGAAGTGATCAAAATGTCCTATCAATAAAGTAAGAGTTTTCGGGACTTTTGCCCCTCACTCTCCCTTTTTCAGTAGATAATAAATAAACCCCGTACCCTAAGGTAAAGGCAAAGAAGAATGATAAAATACCAGCGACTTCCAGCTGTCGAAACAGAATTGAAACGGGTTAAAATTTATATCAGAAACGGGAGAGGCTGCTTGAAGATCAGTGATGGTGTAAATGAGATGTCTTTTCCTTCTAAGCATGAACATGGAAATTCTTGTAGACTCATAGAACTGAATTTAGGCTGGAAGATGAGAAAAACCAGTTAGAGATGGTTAGGACAAAAAAGGTAAATGGTCTTACTGGAGACTCATGCTCAATTTTTTTCCTAAAACAGGAGTCAATTTGTACTTAATATTTCACATGTTAAATTGCCACTGTGAGTTGATTAAGAGACTAATTAAAGGGAGAGAGAGATGAAGAAATAAGATTGTAATATAGCCATGTATTCACAAATATTCTTCTGCTAATTGCTACTTATGGGTCCAATACGTTAAGATATCACACTCTGAAATACAATAAAGTATTGCAAAGATAGCTGGTGGTTAACTTTTACTGAACCATTCTCACAGATATATGTTCGTAGATCCTTCTCTACTCATGGAGGTTTTCGACACGTTTTTTGACATCATTTTCTATATTTATCAAGTTATTAATAGCCCTTGTGATGTCTTGATGTTCTCAATGGATCTTCAGCACCACTGTCGCAGGTGTGGAGGCTTATTCTGCAATAGCTGTACCCAGCTAAGGATGGTGTTACGTGGACAAGGCGACTCACCAGTGCGTATTTGTGAACCCTGCAAAAAGTTAGAAGAGGCAGCACGATTCAAAATGCGGCATGGGCATAAAGCTAAAGCTGGAAAAGGTATGCTTTTTTAGATTTGTGGTTGTCTGAGGTTTAAATAATGGTTCCGTGCATAGCCGCTCAAGTTCTTTTATGTGATGTTTCTTCTAGTAAATAGAAAGCTAAAATCTTGCTTTGAAGTTCTGGGTGATGCATAAATTCCACTTCTTTTTCTGTTTCCTTTGTTCATTTCTAAGGAGCTCTTAGCTATTATCCTTTAATATAAGGATGCGTGCATTGCACTATATATGAATTAAAAAGGGATTCCTACAATTTTATACAAAAAATAAACTACTCGTGCGTTTTTATGTATGTTAAGTTGATGAGAAGTGTCACACTATCACTTTCTAGTTTAAGAAAAGGGCAGAGGTGACATTGAAAAGTAAGGTTAGCTAACTTTTCTCTTCTATATGTCATTTGACTTTGAGTTGAAAGAATTAGGTAAGTTGTGGTTGGAATAACATTACAGATTAGAATATATTTTTACACTAAGATTTTAGTTTTTAAATTTGTCATGAGACCAAATATATTACTAAATGGTAATATTTTAGTGTTGCAAGGGTGTGGATGAAATGGTAAGCTCTCAGTGATTTAACAAGTCCTGGTGGCAATCACTCTCACATAAAGAACAAGCTTGCCAATACTTTAGAAGGAATTAGCATTATATTTGACATTTACCTAAAAGATCCGTTTTCGTATCCCTCTCTTTCTTAGACACATGGTAAGAACATTGACCATCTTTCAGAATGAATTTCTCAATCTGTTCTTCATGAGTAGGTTATAATGGAAAAAGATGACCCAAGCATTAAGTGTATTACGCGATTTGATAGCAATAAATGATTCAGCTTGTTGAATAAATTTTTCTGTTCTTTGTATTTTAGTGATAAAGATAGAATAAAAAATTACCCCATGTTATACATTCTACAATGCCTGAATCCTCAAGTTTCGTTGTCTCTTCTTGATCTCTTTAGATATTTGATTTTTACCTGATGAGAAGATAAAATAAAATAAAAAATCTCTTTGGTTTTTGAGGATTTTTATGATGTGTTGACATATTATATCTAGAATTTCGTTAACTAGTCATTGATTGCTTGAAAGAAAGATGTGTGTCTATCAAAGTGTGAAAGTGGAAAGGATCAAGTTTTAGACCTTTTTTCCTCTACAATCTGCTGTTTCGGTATTTATTCTTCATTTTAAGAAAAGAGGTGAATGCAAAGAGGAATGCCTTGAAAATCGAGATGTGGCACATTCCAAAATGCTCTGTGATTCAATAAATGGGATAGCTATACTGTTTCACATAATGTAGTCCACACCATATTGCTTTAACTCCTTGCAGGTGGTTCCAAACTTGCATCAAATAAAGAGGATGAAATTTTGAATCAGATTCTGGCTAATGAAGATATGCTTTCTGGTCCACAACTGACAGGCAGCACGTCATGTTCGAATGTTAAGGAAACATCCACTGCGAATGGAGGAGATATAGGTAGAAGTATTTCTTTTGATCAGCCTGCTCAAGCTTTAGCAGAAGTGGTATCTGCTACTCCTGAAGACTTGCGTCAACAAGCCCTGGTTGAAAAAAAAGAGATACAGAACTTTGAAAGCAGGAGGAAAATCTGAAGAAGCCTTAAGAGTTTTTAAACAGGGAAAGGATCTCGAAAGACAGGCCGGAGCTTTGGAGTTATCTCTGAAAAAAAGACGTACAATGGTTTCCTCTTCCAGTTCTATGAATGAAATTCAGCAAATTAAAGATGATTCTACATCAACTGGTGAGAATAATAAGCTCCCCATTCGGAAGAGCAAAGAAAAGGATGATCTTGCTTCCGAACTCAAAGAATTGGGATGGTCAGATGTCGACCTTCT